CCGCGGCTGCCCGGGGCGCTGCCGCTGGAGCTGAAGGCGCTGGGCGATGCGTACGTGAAGCAGGAGTTCCGGAGGCACCGAGCGGTCGGGCCAGCTGATGCCCAGCGCTTCCTGCGGGAATGGGAGGCAAGTGCCATAAGACCGGGGCTGCAGGTCGTCTGGCTCCTCCGCACCTTGGTGTTCCTTAGGCCGGGCCCGCCTCACCTGCAGCTCTCCGCTCCTAGCCCGGGGCTCAAGCTGGGGCTTAGGAGTCAGGAGATTTGGGCTCTACTCTGCAGTCCCTTCACCCCGACCTTGTTGCCCAGCGCTTCCTGCGGGAATGGGAGGCAAGTGCCATAAGACCGGGGCTGCAGGTCGTCTGGCTCCTCCGCACCTTGGTGTTCCTTAGGCCGGGCCCGCCTCACCTGCAGCTCTCCGCTCCTAGCCCGGGGCTCAAGCTGGGGCTTAGGAGTCAGGAGATTTGGGCTCTACTCTGCAGTCCCTTCACCCCGACCTTGTTTTTCATTAGTTGTCCAAGTAATCAGTTGAGTCCTGGGCCCAGTGGTCCCTCCCACAGGGTGTGCCTGCCCGCCTCAGGATTTCAAATAGTGCTCTGACCTGGTCTGGGCAAGTCTCTAGGCTCGTGGTGTCCAACAAGTTTTGAAGCAGCAGCCACTATAGTTTTCTCTGCCTTAGTCCTTGCCTGCATAAGTATGGGAAGGAACTCTGTGATGTTTTGACACTCCTGTATAGCACCCCCAGACCTGCAGATTAAAACACGTGCTAGGTACCTGCAATATATTATTTTTGTATGCTAACCTCCAGCACAAGATTAGGGGATACGTATACTAACAGGCTTCTCTCTGTGCAGGATTTTCACTGTAGAACTCTCGTAGCTCTTCAGGGTTTTGGCTGGTGTGGGGGGAGTAGTAGCAGGCCCCCTACTAACTGTCATGTTCCTCCCCTCTGCCCAGTGTTTCATTCAGTTTCCATTTCACAATGGTTGGTAAAGTTGCTGCCCTAGGGGGCAGCCTCACTGGCAATTTCTACTGCTGTCTGGGCAGATGTTCCCTTGCATCTATAGCCCTTCCAAATGTGGGGCTGTGCTCTAAATATTTTAGGTTTTGTCCTGGGCACTTTGGCACTCCGGTGTGGCAGTACATTGTCTGTGTTTCCTAGTGTTTTGGCAGACTGTTTTGGTTTTATTTCCCTTGAGAGTTCAGCTCCTGCTTTAGTCTGTCAGTGCCACTAGTTTTGACATTTGGGGATTTTGAAACCTATCTTGTCTCTGCATCTGTGCTTGTTAGTGCCATCATTTGGCATCATCTTTGTTCTCAGTGCACCAATGCCTGAGGTTGTGAAGCACTGCCACTGCAAGATTTATTTGGTGGTCTTTGGGCTGTTCAGTATAGTCATTTGTTCTGCTGCCCTTCTGCCAAATTTGTTTGTTTGCCATATAGGTGCTTGTTTCTTTCTGTCAGTCCAGTGTTTCCCTTGACACACTGGTACCCTTTTTCTTTTCTGTTTGTCTATCTGTCTTTCCTTGTATGGCATCCAGACAGAAGAGTGCTCTGCAGGGTAAACCCTGACTAATACCTTGCTACCCCTTATTTTCAATGCCAGGGCTGTGCCTGTTGGTGAAGCCATGGTCTTCTCAGCAAGCCCAGTGGGGTGACTTCTCCACCACATGCCAACATCAGCTGAGAGCTTTGTTCAGTATTGGCAAGCATTTGGGCACACTGGGGTACATCAGTGCTTGAAGTTGGTGATATGGTGCTGTGGTTCATTATATGGAGCTGAGCCTCTGCAGAAGAGGCCAAGGCAGGAAGCACCGAGAGCAAGATCTGATAGCTTCTCAAAGCCCGACTCCTGTTAACTTAAGTATGCAGGCCTCTGGATCTCCTTATGCATTTATGAGCAAAATGGGCATGGGGCAGTTTCCTTAAATCAGTATATGTAAATGGTCTGTTACAATTATTCATAGTCCTTTGCAGTTCTGCCACAAAATCCACAGTAAGTTTGAGGCATTCCTTTGATCCTGCATTGGCAGAGGTGGGATCTCTTGATGATGCAGTTGGAGGGTGCGTGTGTTTTTTAAGGCCAACACTGATGTTCATGCACCAAGAGTATGTGTTCTCCAGGTAGGAACTCTTTCTTGTCAATGATGATCAGTCACTTCTTATGCTGAGGATTCCTCAAGACAGATACAATGCTCTAGAATCTCTTCATCACCGCTTATTTGCACAGCTGAAACTGTCTGAGGGTAGACTGAGTCCTCTAGACTTAGATGAGCTAGAGGACTAATTTTATGCCTAATAATATCAAGAGTAGAGGAACACGTCAGTGTATGTACAGGGGAGAAGCCTGACTTTCTCCATTTCTTACAGCAGATGACTAAACAAACATGTTTAATTTGAGACTGGTCCAAAATTTTGCAAATGCCACAATTGAGGTACAGAGGCTGGGTTGATCTTGCCTCCTGTTTTGACCCAGCATCTGAAGGTGTGGCAGATCCCTCATGCAACTGACCAAGTCAGGAAGGCAGCCAAAGAAAAAGTATTTTCTGTGTGAAGATTATCCTAACTGTCAAGATGTCTAGAGTGACTTGAACATGAGTACCAACCCCAAGGCGCATTACTTAAGAACCAGTGCACAAACAATTGGTCATGTGTTCTATACTTAGATTTCACCAACCAGTTGCGAGGTATAAGCTTCCTGGCTGTATGAGAGTCACAGACAGACCCCTTGGGTATCCTGAATTTCTGTCTTTTCATTGTGCTAAATGGTACGTTGCATCAAGAGACACTGGAATATTTAAGTTATTTGTAGTCTCAAAGGACCAGTCACTTATCCCAGGTCAGTTGCTCCTTAGGCAAAGACCACACTTGTAGCCAATCCTAAAATATTTAGAGGTTGTTAAATAGTAAAAGAAACTGTTATTTACAAGGCTAATGGAGGTAAACATAATACACAAATAAGTTACAATTTTAAGTTTGAAAGGATAATAGAAGATTCTCTAATAAGCAAGCTCTGTATGTGCTTTAGGGCTAATCTAGGTTAAATAGCAAGAAATACTTTGTTTATGCTGAGATACCTTGTCTCCAGGGTCTAAGCAGCAATGTGAAACAATTCCTTATTGTTACAGGTTTTTATCCTCCCCCACTGTGCCCTCTGAGGCCACGTCTGTACTTACAGGTGGATCGGTGCTGTGGAGACCGATCTTCTGCCGTTTGATTTAACAGGCCTAGTAAGGACCCATTAAATCAAACACTGAGGGCACTCGCTTTGGTACCGGTACTCCTACTCCTTACGAAGAGGAAGGGAAGCTGACGGAAGCATTTCTTTTGTCAACCTCCTGCTGTGGGGACAGCACCAAAGTTTGAATCAACATACGTTGACTCAGGCAATGCAATTAATGTAACTGGAGTTGCTTATCTGGATCCAAACTTATTCCCTGGTGTAGACCTGGCCTTTGCTGCAAAATCATCTGATGGGAGGAATTCATTTTCATGACTCATTTTTATGGGAGTAAGAGAACAATCAACATAGTCTCTTGTCATCTTTAAGATTCCATAATAGTTTGGTGTTGAAGGGACTCCACTTTTGGGCAAAACAACACTTTTTTTTATTAGAGACCAGCATTTCACACTAATTAATGTGTCTCTCCTTTCTAGTGATTTACACAGTTACCAAGGCCTACAGTACAAACACACAAATGTTATAATATGGGATACAGACGTTATAAGTGAGATCAGAGCATGCAGCAACTCACAAGTGTTCAGTAAAATCCAACACATCCTTATAATTCTAATACACAGGGAGGTGAACTGGACTGATTCCAGTTATGTATTTGTCAGTGTTCAGTTGACACATGGGGATCTTGCCATGAGCTGGTAGCTGGTCTCTAAGCATCACACTGGCTACATCTCTCATTCTTCTTATAAGAGTTTTGTGGAGTCAGCCCTGGCTAGAGAAGAGACCTTTTGTATTGCTCCTGAGTTTATTTGGAGGAAGACTTTACAAGATCACAATACCATCTCAGATTGAGTCAATCAGTGATGTATTCTTACTGGTGATAGGAGATGATGGAGTGGTGGATTAGGTGCTCATCTAGAGGGGGACAGCAAGGTGGATATCTTTGCCTTTCACTGGAAGAAAAAGCTACTGGTCTTCTGTTCATGATATCAAGAAGAGACCATCATAGCTCAGGATATTTTCTTCACCAACTGTACTTTTCGAGTCTATCTCTAGTAGTAAAGGACATGTCAAAGCTTATGAGACAGAAAGGCTTAATGATTCTAATAGTCCTATATTGGTCCCATCAAGTTCAGAATCTGGCCTTCAACCACAATTTTGTTTTAAATCACTCTCCTTTGTACAGTCTATAATTTGCATACATTTTGAGTTCTGCAACAGATGCTTCTGCTGCCAGATGGGAGCTGCCCCAGGATCGGGGTTGGAAACAGGATGCTGTGGCCAGATGGGGGCTGGACTCCAATTGGGCAGGGTGTCTTGCCTGGAGAGAGGGGCCAGGAACAGGCTTGGGAGCAGGGTGTTTTTGACAGAGGGGAGAGTACAGGAGCAGGCTTGGGAGCAGGGTGTTTGGCCAGAGGGGAGAGGACAGGAGCAGGCTGGGGCAGGGTGTCTGGCCAGGGGAGAAGACAGGAGCAGGCTGGGGCAAAGTGTCTGGCCAGGGGAGAGGACAGGAGCGAGCTGGGGCAGGGTGTCTGGCTGTGGGGAGAGGGCAGGAGCAGGCTGGGGGCAGGGTGTCTGGCCAGGGGAGGGTACAGGAGCAGGTTGGAGGGAGGATACCTGGCCAGCCTGAGAGAGGAGGGAGTCGGTGCTTGGGGGATGCTTTCAGAGGTAAACTTTGTAGCACTCTCCCCTGGGGCTGC